TCAGCTTTGGTAATTCCTATATATCTAAGGAGCTATCCATTTCTTCTGAATTCTTCATTTGCTTGGTGTACAGATGTGTAAAGCAGGTGTTACTAATCTCAATTTCAGCGGTATCCATTGTGATTTCACCTTTTTCATTTCTAACTGTATTGATTTGGGTCATTTCTCTCCATGTTTTGTTAGCTTGACTAGGGGGTAGGGATTTGTTTATTTTGTTTTGTCAAAGAACTAACTTTGTAATTCATTGATTCTCTGGATTTTTTGTTCTCAATTTCATTGGTTTCTTCTTTGATTTCATAATTTCTTTCCTTGTAGCTGTTCTTATTTTCCTCGGACCTTAAGGTGCATCATTAGGTTATTTTTGGGGGGTTCTTCTGCTTTTGTGACACAGGCATTCACAGCTATAAACTTCCTTCTTAGTTCTGCTTTCATTGTGTCCCATAAATTCTGGTAGGTTATACTGGCATTGCTATTTAGTTCTAGATACAATCTTATTTCTTCCTTGATTTTTTTTTTCTTTTTTTGTAACCCATTGATTATTTAAGAGTGTATTGGGCTGGTCAGATGACTCAGTGAATTGAAACACTTGCTTAGGCAGATACAGGGATTGGGGTTCCATCCTTGGTGTGCCATGCCAGTCCTGCCCATGGGGCATGCTGAGATGGCACCTGAGACTGGGCGTGATGGGGCACGCCTGTAATCTCAGCGCTTGGGAGGCTGAAACAGGAGGATCACTATGAGTCTGATCTGTGTAGTGAGACCTTATAGACCCTGTACTAAATGCATAAAAAAAGAGAATGTATTTTTTATTTTCTTTTGCCATTGGTTTTTAGTTTCTACATGTGTAATAACTTCAGTTTCTTTTCTTTCACTTAAGATTGCTTTATTAGCTAGTGTATGGTCTGTTTTGGAGACAGTTATACACACTGCTGTAGAGAAGGTATATTATGTCATTGCTGGGTGGAACATGCCATGGATACCTATTAAGTCCATTTGTTGGAAGGTTTTTTTTTTTCAATTCTGACATATTTAATTGTTAATTTTTTTGGTATGGTTGATCTATTTGTGACAGTGGAGTATTGAGGTCCCCACTATAACTGTGTTTGTTTATTTGATCTTTTATATCCAGTAGCACTTATTTTATTAAGTTGGGTGCACTGTTGTTCGGTGCATAAATGTTAATAATTGTTATCTCTTCCTGTTATATTGTTTCCTTAACCAATACATAGTGACTGTCTTTTGATTTTGGAGTGCTGATTTGGTGGTCACTAATTTATTTATTTTTGAGACAAGGTCTCACTATGTGTTCTGGGCTGGTCTTGAACTCACTACGTAGTTCAGGCTGGCCTCATACTCACAGCAACCTCCCAAATTCTGGGTTTACAGGCATGTGCCACCATGCCCAGCAATTAGGAATGTCTTTATCATTAAGATGTTTTATGTCCCCGTATATTTTGGAAGATAGTTTTATAGGACATATTAGCCCAGTTTGGAAATTATTTTCTTTAAGGGGATTAAACCCTTCACTCCAGGCTCACTTGTTCTTTAACGATTGCGTTGGAAAGCCTGCTGTAATGCTGATGGGTTAACTCTTTTGTGGGGAAGGAGGTTTCTCTATAAGTGATGTGCTACTTTTCTCTGACCACTTCTGAAATTTTCTGGGATTTTGGCTATGATGTATCTTTAAGAGGTGATTTTCTAATCATGACCTACTCTGGTTTCTCTTCAGATCATATAAATCTTTCGCCTTTTCCAATCATGGCCACTTGTGGTTCTATATAAGTCATCTATCTGTATTTTTTTGTTTGTTTTTTTGTTTTTTGGTGGAACCGGGGATTGAACTCAGTCCCTTGTGCTTGCCAGGGAAGTGCTTATTCCACTGAGCCATCTCCCCGGCCCTGTATTTTAAATTGTTTTGTCTTTTCTCTGAATGTTTCTGGTATTATTTCAG